TTCTTCCCCTCCGGGAAGGAGCTTACCCCTCCCCCTGGACCTGGGCGGTGCGCCCCGCGAGTTGTCAGAGGGTCTGTTTCGGCGTCGGCGAGGAGGCCTAAGTCATTGATGGTACTACAGCGTTCGGCCAATTTGGGCCGAGGGGGGGAGGACTAATGAAGTACCCCCCTTCTGTCATAGATCACCTCCGAGACGGCCCCAAGATGGCACCCGAGGATCTTCTTCCCGTTAGGGGGAATATTAAGGGTTTATCCTTGTTCCCTATAAATAAACACCCCCTCACCCAGGCGACCGGCAGCCAACCAGGACCCACCATCCCTGTCAAAAAACAATGTGAAGTCCACTTTGGGGGAAAGAAATTTGGTCATGTTTGCGGGAAACGCGAACACTATGAATTGTTTTGTTGATAGGCAAGGCGGAGGTGCCCGCATATTGCCTGCTGCGCACAAGGCCAGCATCCCTGTCAAAAAAAATACAATATGTACTTCGAGGCAAAATCTGGATTATGCGCGGGCACCACGCGATCACTGTGCACTGGTTTGGGACTGGGACGGCGGGGTGCTGGCATGTTGCCTGCTGTGCGCAGGCCCACCAAACACCATGATGGCCACGCCGCTGGTATTGCGCACTGGTTTTCGACAATGGTGGTGGGGGGCGACACTTTTCCCGATGTGTGCTGCCGCATGAGCAGGCGCACCTGGCACACTCTGCGCGTGCTCCGAACGTTGCGCACACGGCGCGGCTGGAGCATGCGGCACACATGGCGCACGTGGATCACGCGACGCATCTGCCGCCCCAGGCGAGCCTGGCACGCTTGGGCCAAAGGGGTGCTTGGCGCGCGTGGCGCGCGTGGCGCGCCTAGCACGCGTGGTGCACCTCGCCCCAGCGTTGCGCACATGGGATCTGTTTTGGATCCCAGTAGCTGCCCATCCAAAGACGACCGCTGAATATGCTGCGGCTCGGGTGCTACTCATGTGTTGGGAGGGCGGGTGGGAGTGAGCGAGAGACGGCTTGTGGGCGGGGAGGGTGTCTTGATCACTGTTCCCTATTGATAAACACCCCCCCAGGCGACCGACAGCCAACCAGGACCAATGAGGACACCCCCCGCACCATCCCTATCAAAATATCCGCCGGCCCCCTTGTGGGGCCAGCACGCTGTAGGCCGAAGGTTCGCAGTTTCCTGTACCAGTTGCAGCTTCCAGTTTCCACTGTTACAGTTCTGCTTCTTGCTGCTTACTGTTCCTTGTTGATGGACCGCGCCGCGAGAGGGGGGAGGCCCAAACGGGCAGATTTAGCACGCCCTGAGCGTGTGCTCTGAATTGCTGGGGTGGGTAAAAATTTACACCCCTCACGCAGATCGGCGGGGTCAGGGTCCAAAAACACATGGGATTTGCCACAATTCTGAAATTTGCTGGCACCCCTCACACAGATCGGCGGGGTCAGGTTCCAAACACACAAAGGATTCGCCACATTTCTAACATTCGGTGGCACCCCTCACGCAGATACGTAGGGTCAGGGTCGAAAAACGAACAGGTCCCGACACTGCTTCACGGCGGCGCCCAGATCTCATGATTTAGCTTGTGCATCTCCCATTATCCGAGACAGGGGGCCGGCGGCATGGGGCGAAGCCCTTACAGATAATGTGAAGTCCACATTGGGGCAAAATCTTGGGTCATGATCGGGGGTGCCGCGATCACTGCGGAGGGCCAGCATCCCTGTCAAAAAAACAATACAACATGCATTTCGAGGCAACATCTGGATCATGCGCGGGAACCCCGCGATCACTGTGCCTTGGTTTGCGACTGGGACGGCGTGGGTGCTGTCACATTCACTGCTGTGCAGTTCCTGCTGTGTGCAGGCCCACCAAACACTATGATGGGCAAGGGGGGTGGGGGCCGACACTTTTCCCGATGTGTGCCGCATGCGCAGGCGCACCTGGTACACCCTGCGCGTGCCCCGAACGTGGCACACCTGGCGCGGCTGGAGCACGCGGCTCACATGGCGCACGCAGATCACGTGGCGCATCTGGCGCACCTGGAGTGCCCGGCACGCTTGGGCAACATGGGGGCCTGGCGCACCTGACGCGCGTGGCGCGCCTGGCACGCGTGGCGCACCTCGCCCCAGCGTTGCGCACATGGGATCTGTTTTGGATCCCAGTAGCTGCCCATCCAAAGACGACCGCTGAACATGCTGCGGCTCGGGTGCTACTTCTGTGTTGGGAGGGCGGGTGGGAGTGAGCGAGAGACGGCTTGCGGGCGGGGAGGGTGTCTTGACCCCCCCTACCCCTCCCCTGGACCTGGACGGTGCGCCCCGCGAGGTGTCCGAGAGTTTTTTGACCTCGGCGACGAGGCCTAAGTCATTGATTTTACTAAGGTGTTGGGCAAATGTTCGCCTCCTGGGGTGGGGGGGGGGCTAATGAAGTACGCCCCCCTCTGTCATCGATCACCTCCAAGACGGCCCCAAGATGGCACCCGAGGCTCCCGAGAGTGTCCCAAGATGCCCCCAAGATGCCCGCAAGAGGCTCCCGAGAGACCCCCAAGCGGCTCCAAGAGGCCCCCCGAGGCACCCCAGACGCTTCAAGAGGCCCGCGGGGCCGCTTAGAGGCTCCCAAGACGCCCCAACAGGCCTACAAGAAGCTCTCGAGAGAGATCCGAAGAGACTCCGATAAGCAACCAAGAAGCCTGGGGCTCTCCTGTTCGCCCTCATCCTCTTCATCTTCCTCATCCGCCTAATCCTTCTCCTCCCTCCCCGCCCTCCACCTCTTCCTCTGGTTCCTCATTTGTCCTCACCCTCTTGCGGTATGACGGCTTCCCAGCCTTTGTTCCACTGCGTGCTCCCCCACATGCCTGATCAGGGCAACTCGCCTGGGCATCGTTTCTGGATGGGCTGGTGGGGTTACCCGAAACTTCTAGAAAATGTAAACCCGCAGGTCGAATCTCGACAAAAATCGCCGACTCGGCAACACTCGCCAGACATCGTGAATGAAGGAACGGTCAACGTCGTAAGACCAACAGTCGCTATCAAGGCAATGGCGATAAGAGAAGTACCTCGAATTATGGTTGTGACAGCTGCAGCATCTCAGACCTGCTAGAAGCGCGATTATTGCGCAGGACACGTGAATGTAGAAAGAAGAAGGAACCATAAGCAGAACAGGCAGGCTGGAAACGAAAGCGTCTGGGACAAGAGCCTGGCACATCTCCATGACTTCCAGCATGGTCTGCTCTGAGGTCGAGAGTATCATCCTCCACTCAGAGGGTGTCGGCGCGACGAGGCCGACGGTGTGGATTAGCACGAATAACGTTGGCAGGGGCGGACGGAGCAAGAGCAACGGGGCACCAGCCAAAAAACGAGGCGCACTGAGCAAGGAAGAATTTACTGCAGGCCCTTGCCGTGATGTCGTGGGCCGTGGCTTCAACCACCGCGTGAACTGGTCAACCTTGAGCGGTCTCCACCATCGAGGTCTCCGAGGGCTGCTGGGGGTCTGCGGTCCTGAACGCCCGCGCCCGCGCTGACGCAGCACCAGGACGGCGCGAACTGACCGTGCCCCTCCTGCTCCTCCTCTTCCTCTTCCTCCTCCTCCTCCTCTTCCTCCTCCTCGTCCTTCTCCTATACGCGAGCCACACGTAGCCCCGAGCGATGCCGCTGCGATCCGTGCTGGCACGGATCGGCCACGACCCAAGCTCTGGTGGAGCGCGCGGCGCGCACGAGAGTGCCGCCACGGGGCAAGAGAGAGCCCTGCCCAAGGTGGCTCGCTTGCCGCTTGCCTCAGGTCGGGCATGTCCCCCTACAGGCAGATTGTGGTCAAAAAATGATCGGAAAATCGTTCCCATATCATTGTCTGATTACTCTTGAGCGTTCCGCCTGTAGAGCGGCAGGCCCGACTGAACGCTTGCCTCGGGCCCTTCCTCTGCGATCGGTGCCGCAAGCGGAGGGGGGGAGCAGGAGAGCCTAAAATCGAATCGGTAAGCCAGATCGGGGGTTGAAATGAATCGGATCGGCGGATTTCAACCGACCCTGTCGGCATGTGTGAGGAGCTTTTCCGCGCAAGTTGGGCTTTTCCGTTAGAGTCGTCGTCTCTGTCCTCCTCTGTTCCATTTGCCTGGGCGCTCTTCCTCATACGCGCAGTCCAAAGCAAAATTGAACAAGATAGGAGTGGAATCCAAGGGAAACCTTCTCTTTGATCCCTTCCCCGCGCCGGGGGGGTCCCGGGGGGGGGGTCCCGGGGGGGTACCGGGGGGGGGCCGCCACCCAGATACGCTTTTCCCCTGGGGAGGTCCCGGGGGCCAGAAAAGCCCCGAGAAGGCCAAGAGGCCCCCTGGACGGTCCAAGAGGGCCCCGAATCGCCAAACTATCAGTCCAAATCGCCAAAGGAGCCTCCAGACGGCCCAAGAGGTTTCCCAGACTGGCCCTGAGACGGCCCAAGAGGCCCCCAAGACGCCCCTAGAGCGGCCCAAGGGGCGTCCCAAGAGGGCCCCAAGACTCCGAAATCATTGATTTTCGTTTCGGCTGCCCCACGCTCCAAGACAGCCCAAGAGGCCCCCAAGATCGCCCCGAGATGGCCCGAGAGGGCCCCAAGAGAGCCCCAGAAGAGGGCCCCAAGAGCCGCCCAAGACGGGCCAAGAGAGGGCCCGAAGACGGCCCGACGAGGGGCCCCATAAGAGGGATCGCGAACGGAAAATTCAAGCCTTCCGCCCCAAGAGGGCCCCCAGGAGGCCCTAAGAGGCTCCTCCCCCTCCTCCTCCTCCTCCTCCTCCTCCTTCCTCCTCCTCCTCCTCCTCCTCCTCCTCCTCCTCCTCCTCCTCCTCCTCCTCCTCCTCCTCCTCCTCCCTCCTCCTCCTCCTCCTCCTCCTCCTCCTCCTCTCCTCCTCCTCCTCCTCCTCCTCCTCCTCTCCTCCTCCTCCTCCTCCTCCTCCTCCTCCTCCTCCTCCTCCTCCTCCTCCTCCTCCTCCTCCTCCTCCCTCCTCCTCCTCCTCCTCCTCCTCCTCCTCCTCCTCCTCCTCCTCCTCCTCCTCCTCCTCCTCCTCCTCCTCCTCCTCCTCCTCCTCCTCCTCCTCCTCCTCCTCCTCCTCCTCCTCCTCCTCCTCCTCCTCCTCCTCCTCCCCTGGGAGGCCCAAAAGAGGCCCCAGGAGGCCCCCCGGAGCCCCCCAACAGGCCCCCGACACGCTTCCAAGAGGCCCCAAAACTACCCCCGTCGGCGTTGTACCCGTCGTCGTCGTCGTCGTCGTCGTCGTCGTCGTCGTCGTCGTCGTCGTCGTCGTCGTCGTCGTCGTCGTCGTCGTCGTCGTCGTCGTCGTCGTCGTCGTCGTCGTCGTCGTCGTCGTCGTCGTCGTCGTCGTCGTCGTCGTCGTCTTCAGGGTCGGCGGCACCAGCCGTAAGGCCTTCACAATCGACAGCCGAGTCGGGAAAAATCGAATCGGCAGAAATGGGCAGGCTAGTAGACCTCCATGAAGAGATCGGAGGCCCAATCGGAATCCGAAGTCGAATCGAATCGAAATCGGAAGTCAACAAAATCGACTCGACTCGAATCCGAGGAAGCGAAATGAGCCCTGGGAGAGCCCTGCCCGGGATGGAACGGTCAACGGAGCAGCAGCACCGAAGACTTGCAGCGCGAAGGACCTGCAGAGGCTGCGGCCAACATCGCTGAGCACCGACCGCCTTGTCTGCTTCCGCACCGGCCATCTCAGCGACAAAAACTAACGGGCCCTACGCGATAAGACAAACGATGTTCAATGGAAAAAACAAATGACAAGAAGAATCTACGGACAACCCCCCCGGACAACCCAGACAATACAGGCTGTTGAATGGCGACAAGACAACCTATCCCGGACAACCCCTTGGACAACCGAGCGGGAGCCCGCACAACCCCTCCGGACGACCCGCCTTGGACAAGCCTCCCCGGGAGTCTTCTTCAATAAGAGGTGGTAGCAGCATGACGCCGCGGCTTACGCGGGCCGCCAGTGCGCCATGCCGCGTAGAGAACGACTGCGCTTACACGCGGCCTTGTGCGGGAAGCTGACGCGCGAGTGTCCGCGCAGCCGACCCCGTGCTCTCTTCCGTCGCTCCTCTGGCACGGGGGGAAGCGGGTGCGGCGGCGGCGACGGCCAGAAGCGGTCCCCGTCGAATAAAGGGAGTCCGTGGAAAAAACCCACACGCCTGTGGACGAAAACAGAGTGTGTCTGTATGTTTTTCCACAGACGTGTTTTTGTCCACAGACTGCTTTTTCCACAGACGAGCGTTTTTGTCCACAGACCGTGTTGTTTCCACGTCTGTGTGTTTTGCTCCACAGATTTTGAGCCAAATCGGGTCGGAGCGTGCATCGACTCGGGCCACCTTCGGCGCAGGGATGGAGCCGAACCGGATCGGCCGCGCCAAGGCAAAAGCAGGCATCGGGCTCCGCAGACTCGCTGGAGTAATTATCGTAGTCGAATCGGATCGAGCGGGTCGGTATCGATGTCGGATCGGATCGATCGGATCCGGGCGGGCCCCGGGAAACAATGGGGGAGCGGCACGGCGGCGGCGAGGGCGAGGGAGAATCGGGGAAGGCGAAACGGAAAAAAGGGGACGGAGGCACCTCCGTTATCATCATCATCATCATCATCATCATCATCATCATCATCATCATCATCATCATCATCATCATCATCATCATCATCATCATCAGAATCATCAGCGTCATCATCATCATCAGCATCATCAGCATCAACATATCATCAGCACAGTCATCATCATCATCATCATCATCATCATCATCATCATCATCATCAGCAGCAGCAGCAGCAGCATCATCATCAGCATCAGAATCATCGTCATCATCATCATCATCATCATCATCATCATCATCATCATCAGCAGCAGCAGCAGCAGCAGCATCCTCAGCCCGCTCATCCCTCCCCTTTCCCTCCTCACTCCCCAGCCCCCTGGTCCCTCGGCCATCTTCCTCCTCCACCTCTCCACTCCCCCGCTTCTCTACCCCTACCCCTCCCCCCCCTCCTGCAGCACCCGTCCTGATCTCGTTCGGGAGCACACCCTTCGCCTCCTCGAGCGCCAGCCTCCGCAGCTCGGCCTGCCACGCACGGGGCAGAAGGGGGGGAGGCCGAGCCGAGGGCACTCCGACGCAGGCGGCGAGGCCGATGCGGAGGCCGAGACGGAGGCGGAGGCGGAGGCGAGGCCGACACGAGAGCAGGACGAGCAAGGAAGGAGCGCGAGCATAAACGTCCGGAGCTCCACCCGGGCTTCTTGGGGAGGCGCCGTCCAGGGGGGGCCAACGCCGATGCGCGAAAACTCCGCACGGGCCTCCGAGGGCTTCTGGCTGTGCCGTGCCGTTCGTCCCCGGGCGCCGGAGCGGAGCTCCGGCCGAGGCGGAGCACAGTCCGCGCTGGACCGCGGGTCCAGAGCTCTCCCCGTCTGAGATGTCTATCCCGAGTGTGTTGACACGGCACAGTGGAGGCCAGTCCACAAGAAACCTTCCACAAGAAACCGCCCCCTGAGAGTCGAGTTATGGACCGATGGGGGCAAGGTTCGGGGGGGGGATGCAGTGGATGCCCGACCACAAGAAACCTTCCACAGGAAATCCAATCCTGGGACCCCAGGACGGCCATGGATTTCTGGTGTGGGAACGTCACGCTTTCCATGGCAAAACCATCGAAACCCAAGAAACCCAGGGCACCCTGGAGGCGAGCAGGGTGTTTCTTGGCATGGGCCCCCACGGTAGCCAAGATACGATGCTCGGCTGCATGCGAACGCCGTACGAAGATAGCGGTGTCCGACACGGCTGGGCTGGTGATGACGTCCAAGGTCCTGGGCACGATGACGTCAGTACCAATTGGCGTCGGGACCGTGACGTGATACACATGTATTCCAGAGTGGCAGAGCTTCCTCCCTGACTTCATCAGTGCAGGTGGCGCCGAAAAGGTCAGAATCATCACGGCATCTATGGATAAAGTGAACGCTGAGAAATATGATGACCCCCACCCACCCACTCACGTCCAACCCCAAACCACTCGAATAGCGACTGGGCTGCTCCCCCTCGATGCGCGGATTCGGGCACAGAGGAACTAGGAAGCCACAATCGGAACCATCTCGCTGGGCAGCTTCGTAAATAAAACTGGCCCCCGTAAGGACCCGGCAGAAATCCAGCCAAGGATATCATACAGCCGAGCGCCAACCAAGCCGTCCAAGAGACAAGAGGACGTGCTATACGAGTAGCATGTTGTTGAACGGCGGTCGATTGTGCACGATGAGGGTGGCGCCAGATCGGACCCCCCGACCGGATCCGAACTGGGCAGCGGGCTTCTCCTCGGGTCCCTCCTCGGACCCTCCCCGATCTCCTCCCCGACCCCCTCCCTCGATCTCCTCCCCGACACCCTCCCTGACCCCCTCCTCGGCCCTCTCCCCCCCGAGACCCTCCCCCATCCTCACCTCAAGGGGAACGCGAGGCAGGGACCGTCCGGGGAGAGGAAAACTCGACCCGGCATCAGCGAGGCCTGCCGCCGACAGATCGGCGACGGGCCTCTGGCAAATCCGCACGCTCTCCTGGGCGGGGTGCACCTGTCGGGCACCCATCGGCGATCAATGGGCGATTGGGGCGACGGGGGGTCGATGTGTCCCCCCCTGAGCATGCAGTGGAGACCCATGCCAAGAAACACCCTGCTCGCCTCCAGGGTGCCCTGGGTTTCTTGGGTTTCGATGGTTTTGCCTTGGAAAGCGTGACGTTCCCAGACCAAAATTCGATGGCCTTCCTGGCGTCTCAAGGGGGGGGTTCTTGTGGAAGCCCCTATCGGTCCATAACTCGACTCTCCGCAGGCCGTTGGGGACGTTCCCAGCACCCCCGGAACGCTCTCGGCGAGGAGCAGCTGCCAGAGAGCATCCCGAGGCTGGAAGACCGCCGAGAACTGACAAAAACATTTGAAAACCTCAAACCTCACCCTTGAGATCCCCTCCCCCGATCCCCTTCCACAATACAACAATCAACGATCTCAAGCCTGTGATTGAGATTCTGGGTGAGAGTTAAGATGGTTATGGCCCTCGCTCCAGCCAGCACGCGCGCGCAGTAGCAAGGAGGGGAGGGGAAAGGAAAGCGTTGCTGATTGCGCCGCTCCACTTCGAGGAGCCAGCGCCAGACATGAGGGAAGCTCGGACACGAGTTGTTCGACCCCCCCCCGATCCTCAACCCCCTATTCCGTGCAGACGCCGCGGGGGCATCGTCGGAGACGCCACCCTCGGGCTGCCGTTGCTGTGCTGCCACCCCCCTCTCTCTCTCTCTCTCTCTCTCTCTCTATATATATATATATATGTATGTATATACATATGTATCCCTTCTGGCGTTTCGCTAGGAGGGTTCCAACTGTGCTGGAAAAGGTCCACAAAAGAGTCAGACCGCCCAGAAAGGCAGCCGATGAGGAGCAGAAAAAATACACAACTGTTCCTTACATCAACTTGCTCGGTACCCCCTCGTGTGGATCCGTCCCCAGATGGCTTGCTCCGAAGATCGTCGCCTTGTTCACCGACGCCTCGCCCGTCGCCACCAGGGGTTGCACAGTATATGATTTCGCTTGGGCGGGGGGGGCGGGGACGGGCAAAAGATGTCGCAGTTTCTGGGCCTTATAGCTTGTACATGGGCGAGGGCCATGTACTTCCAAACCATCCTGTAAGATTGGGTCCTCCCTTTGAAGAGACAGCGCCCCGCGTCTCACTCCTTCCTCCTCCGCCTCTTCCCTCCTCCCATCCCTGCCTCTGCCCTGCCTCTGCTCTCCGCATCAGTCAACCATCACACGTATCGCGGCACATAGGAGCTCCACCGAAAGCCCCAATGGCAAAATTCGCACGCGGCTCCCCCACCCAGTACAGCGTATCGTGGCCCATACGGAGCTCCACCTAAGGCCCCAGTGGTTGCGCCCAAATGCCGCCGCCACCCCACCTTGACGCACATCACACGGTTTGTGGCCCCATAGGGAGCTCCACCTAAGGCTCGAATGATTGCGCCCGCATGCCGCTACCACCTCACGCTGGTGCACACCTCACGCGCTTCGTGACCCACGGGGAGCTCCACCGAAGTCCCCAGTTGCAGGGTCCACATGCGTTTCCCCAACCCAGTATAGCGTTTCGTGGCCCCATAGGGAGCTCCATAGAAGGCCCCAGGGGCAGAGTCCACATGCGTTTCCCCCACCCAGTACAACGTCCCAGGGGCAGGGTCCACATGCGTTTCCCCCACCCAGTATACTTTTTGGTGGCCCATAGGGAGCTCCACCGAAGGCCCTAGTGGCAGGGTCCACATGCGTTTCCCCCACCGAGCACAGCGTATTGTGGCCCATAGAGACCTCTACGGAATGCCCCAGTCGCAGGATCCACATGCGTCTCCCCAACCCAGTGTAACATTTCGTGGCCCCATAGGGAGCTCCACCAAGGCCCCAGTGGCAAAGTTCGCAGGCGCCTCCCCCACCCAGACTTCGTGGCCCATAGATCGTCCACCAGAGGCCCCGGTGGCAAGCTCCACATGCGTCTACCCCACCAGGTACAACGCTTCGTGGCCCCATAGGGAGCTCCACCGAAGGCCCGAGGGGCAGGGTCCACATGCGTCTCCCCCACCCAGTCCAGCGTTGGTTGCGTAAGCCCATAGGGAGCTCCACCGAATGTCCAAGGTAACAGTGTCCACATGCGTCTCCCTGCCCCACGTTTCGTACCCCCATAAGGGCTTCCACCGAAAGCACTAGTGGTAGGGTCCACATCCGTCTCCCTCCCCCACGTCGGAACCCCACGACCATCACGGCACACCCCTCACGCGCTTCGTGGCCCCATAGGGCCCATAGGGAGCTCCACTGGAAGTGGTAACCACAACGCGGTATTCACAACTGCAGATGGTTGGGTCCTTCGCCAGGATATGTTGTTCCGCTGCATCGTTGCGCAGAACCTATATTTTTGTTTTGGCAGATGTGTATTACGCGATCTGGCCATGTAAACTTTGCCGGGCCCCCGTCCGACGGGCCACCAAGGCGATTCCTGACCAGGCCTGGGCGGGGTCGACGCCCTGGGAAAGGAGCGGGGGCGCCCTGCGAGCGTCGCCCACGAGTCTTCCGGCCACGCTCCACCTCCTGGAGCGCGGGCGGAAGACCCGCTGCGAGGGCAAAGTGGAGGGACGCGCCAACGGCAGGCGGAACGAAACAGGGAGGGGCAGGGCGAAGGTTCATTGTCCCCCTCCAAAGATTTACCTGTGTGTTATTCCCCAAACCATCTTGTGTTCAGTTGGGCCCTCCTTGTGAATCAGCAACGCCGGGCGTCCTCCCTCCTTCCCTCCGTCCTCCCCCTCCTCACTCCTGCTCTCCGCATGTCTGCATTATCGGCATCATCATCACAATCACAACCATCATCACCATCATCACCGTCGCCATCACCAGCACCATCACGATCACCATCACCATCACCATCATCATCATCGTCATCATCAGCAGCATGACCACCATCATCATCAGCAGCAGCATCACCAGCATCCTCATCATCATAATCATCATCATCACCATCACCACCACCACCCTCACACCACCACCACCACCACCGCCACCATCATCATCATCGTCATCATCTTCATGATCATCATCATCATCATCATCATCATCATCATCATCATCGTCATCATCAGCATCATCAGCTTCAGCAGCAGCATCAGCATCGTCATCGTCATCGTCATCATCATCATCTGCATCATCATCATAACCATCATCATCAGAATCAGCATCATCATCAACATCATCGTCATCATGAGCATCAGCATCATCATGAACACCATCACCATCACCATCACCATCATCATCACCATCACCACCACCATCACCATCACAAAGACCATCATCATCATAATCAGCATCAGCATGATCATCATCAGCAGCAGCATCAGCATCATCATCATCATCAGCATCATCAGCAGCATCAGTATCATCATCAGCAGAATCATCATCATCGTAAGTATCATCAGCATCATCAGCATCATCATTAGCATCATCAGGATCATCTTCATCAGATTCAGCATCATCAGCATCAGCATCAGCATCATCATCATAAACATCAACATGATCACCATCATCGTCACCACCATCATCTGCATCAGCAGCATCACAATCAGCATCAGCATCATCATAATAATCATCCTCATCATCACAATCATCATCAGCAGCAGCATCATCAGCATCGTCATCATCAGAACCATCATCATCATCAGCAGCATCATCGTCATTATCATCATATCATCATCATCAGCATCATCATCAGCAGCAGCATCATCATCATTATCATCAACGCACTTTCACCTGTCGCTTTTGGTGGCCCTATAAGAAGGTCCACCTAAGACCCCAGTTGTTGCACCCACATGCCGCCGCCGCCCCACCTTGGCGCACCCCTCACACGTTTCGTGGCCCCATAGGGAGCTCCACCTAAGGCCCCAAAGGTCGTGTCCGCATGCCGCCGCCACACCACTTTGGCGCACCCCTCACACGGTTCGGGGCCCCGTAGGGAGCTCCACCTAAGGCCCCAGCGGTTGCGCCCACATGCAGCCGCCACCCCACTTTGCTACACCCGTCACGCGCGTCGTGGCGCCATAGGGAGCTCCACCTGAGGCCCCGGTGGTTGCGCCCGCATGCCACGGTCACCCTACATTGGCGCACCCCCTCACACGCTCCGTGGTCCCATAGGGAGCTCCACCTAAGACCCTGATTGTGCCCGCATGCCGCCGCCACCCTACTTTGGCGCACAACTCACACGTTTCGTGGCCCACACCAGAGCTCCACCTGAGGGCCACAGTGGTTGCGCCCGCATGCCGCCGCCACCCCACTTTGGCGCACCCCTCACACGGTTCGTGGCCCCATATGGAGCTCCACCTAAGGCCACAGTGGTTGCGCCCACATGCCGCCGCCACCCCAATCTGGCACACCCCTCACAGTTTCCGTGGCCCCATAAGGCGCTCCACCGAAGGCCCCAGTGGCTACGTTCGCATGCATTCTAGGCAATGTCGGCACACCCCTCACACGCTCCGTGGCCCCATTGTGAGCCCAACCGAAGGCCCCAAAGGCAGGAATCGCATGCGCAACCGCGCACATGTCGGATAAGGCCCCATTAGCAAGAAGCGCATGCGTGACCGTGCCAACTTCGGCACACCCCTCGCACGTTTCGTGGCCCCATGAGGGGCTCCGCCGAAGGCTCCAGTGGAGGGAATCGCATGGGTGACCGCGCCTATTGCGGCAAACCCCTTACAAATTTCGTGGTCCCCCAGAGAGCTCCACCGAATGCCCCATCGGCAGGAATCGCACGCGTGACCGTGCCCATTCCGGCACACCCCTCGCACGTTTCGTGGCCCTATAGGAGCTCCACCAAAGGCCCCGCCGCCTGCTGCTCCCCAGACCGCGCCCTGCTGCTCCCGAGGGCCGGACAGACAGACGCTTAGATCAGCTGAGACGGATTACATTCACATGTAACCCGTTGCGGGTGACCCCTGCGACCCCGTGAGCAACGTCGATCCGTCCTCCTCACGCACGCCTCAATCCTTTTGATCGCTCCCGCCCTTCAGTTTCACCTGACTTGCAGTACTTACTCGCAGCTGCATATGATTGGGTCCCTCGCCGGGATAATGTTCTGAAAAACGATTCACTAAACAGATTCTCGTCCAATGCGGGCACATTTGTGGTTGGGACCACCGAGATCCTCGATACAGAAACACCAAGGTGCACATGACCGTGCTCTCACCCCTGTCCTGGCTGCATCTGTCGTGCGCTTCCTAAGAATGCCTGGAAGACCTAAGAATGCACGTTCGCCTCGACCCGCGTCTCCACCTTTGCCGCCATTGGGGTACTTTGCAGGGGTAATATGTATCCCTCACTCTCTCACTTTCTCTCTCTCTCTCTCTCTATTTACACGGAGGTGCTGACGGGGCGAGTCCCGCCCTTCTCAGTACGTCCCGTCTCTGTTTTCCAGTCGGGGCCCCTTTTTCGACCACGCCACGAGGGAGGTCTTCGTCCCCCTAACCACTCACATGCGGCGCCTCCCGCCAGATTTCGGGTGGCCCAGCCGGCGCTTGCACCCGGCGGGCCAGGACAGACACTTGCCAGAATCGGTGCGGTCTCTCTCTCTCTCTCTCTCACTCCCTACCCCACCCAGATCCTCGTCCCTCCTCGGTGCCAACGCCGCGGCGGCCTCGTCGGAGACGCCCCCTCTCGGGGTGCCGCTGCTGTGCTGCCACCTCTCCCTCTCTTTCTTTTTGTTCCTCTCTCTCTCTCTCTATATTTCTCTCTCTCTCTCTCTCTCTCTCTCTCTCTCTCTCTCTCTCTCTCTCTATATATATATATATGTCCTTTGTTTTTGCCTCTCTCCCTCTCTTTCCATGATAGCGTTTCGCTCGAGGGCTCCTACTGTGCGGAGACAAGACCACAAGAGGAGTCAGACCGCACAGTCCGGCAGCCGTTGGGGAGCAACAAAAAAAAAACACCCCGAGCCTCGCCCCTCCTCGGTGCGAAGGCCGCGGCGGCCTCGTCGCAGACGCCCCCCTCGGGCTGCCCGCCGCGCTGCCCGCCGCGCTGCCCGCCCGCGCCCGGAGGCGGGCTCACCGAGGCGGCCGCCGCGGGTTCCGCCGCGCCCTCCTCGGGGCCTGGCGAGGCCGGCGAGGCGGCCACGGCCGCCGCCGACAGCGACCGCGGCAGCGACGGCGAACCCAGACATCCAACGTACATCGGGAAAAAGCACGGGTTGCTTTCGTCGTTTTCGGCCTCTTGGGGCCCTCGCTGGGCCCCAAGGTTGGCGGCACGCACCAGAAGGGGGTGGCGCGAGGGGGGGGGCCTTCTGAGAAGGCGGCGCGATTGTTAGCGCCGAAAAGAGCTTCTGGGCCACCCAGTGCTACCGGCTTCTAAATCTGAAAGCCTCTTGGCCCTCAGAGAGCTATCCGAGAATTACGTCGAGAGAAGCCCGTTTCCTTTGTCCCTTCCCCGCCGTGGGAAAAGAGGTTCGGGAGGGAAAAGCCAAGGGATGGTTTCGGGGGTGGTCCCAGGGGGGGGTCCCAGGGGGTCCCGTGGGAGCCCCGGGGGTCGTGACCCCCACCTCGGGCGATCTGGAGAAGGAGGACACGGGGGTGGTCTCCCTGTCAACAGGGGAGCTCAGGACCTCTCTCCCCGCCTCGGCCCCGCCTCGACCCCAGTTCCAGCCCCTGCCCCGCCCCTGGCCCCGGCCCCAGCCCTGGCCCTCAGGCCCTGGCCCTCAGGCCCTGGCCTGGGCACTGGCCCCGGCCGCGGCCCCAGCCCCGACCCTGGGTCAGGTTCCCACCACAGTCCCGGCCCAGGCCCGACTCCAAGCCCAGCCCAGGCCCCGGCCCCCGCCCCACTCCTGACAGACGGCTCTCCTCCTCCTCCTCCTCCTCCTCCTCCTCCTCCTCCTCCTCCTCCTCCTCCTCCTCCTCCTCCTCCTCTCCTCCTCCTCCTCCTCCTCCTCTCCCTCCTCCCTCCTCCTCCTCCTCTCCGCCTCCTCCTCCTCATCCGCCTCCGCCCCCTCCCTTTCCTCCTCCTCCGCCCCCTCCTCCTCATCCTCCTCCTCCTCCTCCTCTCTCCTCCTCCTCCTCCTCCTCCTCCTCCTCCTCCTCCTCCTCCTCCTCCTCCTCCTCCTCCTCTTCTTCTCCTTCTTATGATTACGATTAGTATTATTAATAATAGGTTTCTTCTTACTAGTAGTATTCTTACTGTTATTATTATGATACATATTGGTCTTAGTGGTATTCCTCTTATTGTTAGTATTATCATTATTAACATTATACGTGTGCGTATGATTCTTATTATTATTTTCATTATTATTATCATTATTATTTTTAGTAGTATTATTTTGCTTGTTAGTATTATTAATAGTATTAAAATTAGTATAATTGGTATTGTTGCTCGTATTATTATTACTATTAGTATTATTATTACTATTATTATTAGTAGTAGTATTCTTCGTATTATTGCTAATACTAATAATAGTAGTATTACTATTACTATAATCCATATTAGTATTCTCATTATTACCACTACTATTAGTATTAGTGTTACTACTACTCTTATTATTATTACTATTATTATTCTCATTATTATTATTATTATTCGCATTCGTGCTGTTATTCGTCTTATTGGTATGATTATTAATATCTTAGTCTTACTCGTATTCGGAGTAGTCGTATGATGCTTATCATTACTATTGTCATAAGTAGTTGTACTGGTATCATTATGTTTCGTCTTAACCAGCTTATTCTTAGTATTAGTATGCCTATTCGTATTAATAGTATTACTCTTAACAGCATTAGTAGTCGCATTCCTATTATTATTAATAGTATTGTCCTGTTGCTTCGTAGTATTATGATGAATATTATTAGTGTTCGTATTACCCGTCTTGATATTAGTATTCGTAATATTGTTCGTATGATTACTCTTCTCCTTCTTATGATTATTAATAGTGGTTGTATCATTAATCTGAATAATAGTAAAACTCCTCTTATGTTCAATATTATAGATATTCTTGTTCGTAGTACGAAACGTCTGATTAGTCGTCTTGTTCGTCGCATTCGTATGCTTATTAGTATTATTTGTGTTCTTTTTATTACAAAAATTTATGAATAGTAATAGTATTAGTCTTCTTCGTCGTATTCTTCTGACTAGTAATAGTATTACTATTACTATCATTATTAATAATAGTAATATGATTATTCTGATTACGATTACTATTGATCAAATTCGTACTATTCTTAATAAGATTAGTCGCATTATTCGTCTTAGTATTATGTTCTTATTCTTATTATTATGTTTCCCAACCCTCCTTGGTTGGGTACTCATTTTGAATAGAGCACTCTGGTCGCCCCGTCCTCCCGCCCACCTCCCTCCCGCCTCATACCTCCTCCTCGCGGCGCCCTCTGGGGGGTTGCGATCTGCGCAACTGTCGCCACTTTCGTGGGTTCCTGGGAGGCCCAGCGGAGTTGGGGTACACGCAGATCACATCGGGGCCTCGCGGCTCCCTGCGGGGGGAGCTGCGAACTGCGCAACTGTCGCCACTTTCGTGGGTTCCTGGGAGGCCCAGCGGAGTTGGGATACACGCGGATCACCTCGGGACCTCGCGGCGCCCTGCGGGGGGAGCTGCGAACTGCGCAACTGTCGCCACTTTCCTAGGCTCCTGGGAGGCCCACCGGAGTTGGGATACACGAGGATCACCTCGGGACCTCGCGGCGCCTGGGAGGTTGCGATCTGTGCCACTGTCGCCACTTTCGTGGGCTCCTGGGAGGCCCAGCGGAGTTGGGGTACACGCAGATCACCTCGGGACCTCGCGGCGCCCTTTGGGGGGTTGCGATCTGCGCAAGTGTCGCCACTTTCGTGGGCTCCTGGGAGGCCCAGCGGAGTTGGGATTCACGCGGATCACCTCGGGACCTCGCGGCGCTTGGGGGGCTGCGATGTGCGCAACTGTCGCCACTTTCGTGGGCTCCTGGGAGGCCCAGCGGAGTTGGGATACACGCGGATCACCTCGGAACCTCGTGGCGCCCTCTGGGGGGCTGCAATCTGCGCAACTGTCGCCACTTTCCTGGGCTCCTGGGAGGCCCAGCGGAGTTGGGATACACGCGGATCACCTCGGGACCTCGCTGCGCCTGGGGGGGTGCGATCTGCGCAACTGTCGCCACTTTCGTGGGCTGCTGGGAGGCCCAGCGGAGTTGGGCTACACGCAGATCACCTCGGGACCTCGCGGCGCCCCTTGGGGGGTTGCGATCTGCGCAATCGTCGCCACTTTCGTGGGCTCCTGGGAGGCCCACCGGAGTTGGGATACACGCAGATCACCTCGGGACCTCGCGGCGCCTGGGGGTTGCGATCTGCGCAATTGTCGCCACTTTCGTGGGCTCCTGGGAGTCCCAGCGGAGTTGGGCTACACGCAGATCACCTCGGGACCTCGCGGCGCCTGGGGGGGTGCGATCTGCGCAACTGTCACCACTTTCGTGGGCCGGCCCACCGGAGTTGGGATACACGCAGATCACCTCGGGACCTCGCGGCGCCTGGGGGGGTGCGATCTGCGCAACTGTCGCCACTTTCGTGGGCTCCTGGGAAGCCCAGCGGAGTTGGGATACACGCAGATCACCTCGGGACCTCGCGGCGCCTGGGGAGTTGCGATCTGCGCAACTGTCGCCACTTTCGTGGGCTCCTGGGAGGCCCAGCGGAGTTGGGGTACACGCAGATCACCTCGGGACCTCGCGGCGCCTGGGGGGTTGCCACCTGCGCAACTGTCGCCACTTTCGTGGGCTCCTGGGAAGCCCAGCGGAGTTGGGATACACGCAGATCACCTCGGGACCTCGCGGCGCCTGGGGGGTTGCGATCTGCGCCTCTGTCGCCACTTTCGTGGGCTCCTGGGAGGCCCAGCGGAGTTGGGGTACACGCAGATCACCTCGGGACCTCGCGGCGCCTGGTGCGGCAGCAGCAGGATAAGCAGATGCATTTTGGCCTTGAGCCAGAAAGCGGCAACCACAGTACATCCTTCCCTGAAACACGTACGAACAATCCTGGCCTCCCGCGAGCTGGAATGTTGGGCTTCACGGGAAATAACATTATGCTAAATATATATCAATAAAACAAGAGAGGTCTCCACATGGATGAGACTTTCTCCTAGGTCTAGCACCCCAAAACAGGATACAGCAACTGCACATGCAAATCAGTGATCAGGGAGAGAGCAGTGAGGGAGGAGAGAGGAGAGAGAACCCGGGTCTCTTGACTCCGACACCGCTGGGCTGGACTGGAAATCGGCCCACGATATGAGCCTGGAGTCTTGATCCAACATCCTCCGGGATGCCGCCTGAGATCGGCCCTTACTCCCTGGCTGGTTCCTCCTGCGGGATATCTCGCCAGCCTCGTCTATCAAAACTAGCTTGCCTGTAGCAAGTGAATTGGATAATGCCGCATTGCCCACGCTGACGTCGCCCTTCGTGAGACAGTCCACGGGCACACGGCCGTGCGGGATCCATCGAATAAAACCTCGAGCCCCCTCCAGGGTCTGACACGCGGCGGCTTGGTCGAGCGCCGTGCGACGGTCACGGGCACTAGCGTTCCTTCCTTCAGCATCGTATCGTAGATACTCTTCGCATCCACCACGCGAACCTGATCCCCCCGTCCGAGTAGTCGGCAGTCCCTACGGAGGACCGTTGTGAACGGACCCGAACACCTGGACATGTCTGACACATCCACATCTCCGAAAACCACGTCTCTATACAAAACCGGGAGAAACTCTACTTCCGCCACTGCCGCCGAGAGAGCCTGGGTCTCGCCGGCCAGAGTAGACGTGACTTTTCTTCTGAGCTTGGAACTTCGCCATCCCAGGGTGGACGCGCGAACAGCACAGTTATCTATCACGCTATTATCGGTCGCTAAGACCATCCACGCCCCCTGCGTCGGATCGGCGGGGAGCCCCTGGCGGTCCAGAAGTCCTTCGTTGGCTCCTACACCCCCCGCATCCGAAAAAGAAACGAACGCCATCCGTTCCGGGTCCAAACGCCAAATGATGAGGCCTCTCGAAGCCGTGGCACGGAGATGCCTCACCATCTTGTTCGCAATGGCAACGTCCCCTGTGGTGGCGTCCTTCAGTCTACTGGCAAGGATGCTCGCGGTG